ATCTCTGAGTTGTCAGTGGCACAATTATGACTTTCCATTTCTATTCGCTGACATGGTTGTAACTGATTGATAAGATCTTTCAGGCCAACATTTATTTCACTTTGAATATTAACGAAATCACCTTGATTACTATTAGCGTATTCGTCAACTTTATTTTTATGTTCTGTATACTCTTGTAATTCATTTGAACTTTGAAAGTTCATCCAATCTAGCTTGAGTATGTTTTGTCCATTGGAAGCTGTCTGTATAAGTTTGAGAAGTTCTGTTGTCCTATCAATCGTCAACTCAGTAGTGTGTGTTGTACTAGGTAGAATTGAAGTTGATAATGGTATATGAGATGGTAATTCAGATAATGATGTGATCTGTTCAGGTATCATTATGTTCTATAAATTGAAACAGGTATAATTATATGCCTCATTATATTTTGAATACAGTGGCGAATTTGTACATAATAATGATAATAAAATCACTTCACAAAATTTCTTTTTTTTCCCAAAAACTTACCACAAAATTTTGTTTCGTATTCATAGATTATTAGTATTGAAATAATGAAGTATTATTTTTCGTTGACTGAACCGGTTCAGATTTAAATTGTTCTACCAATTAACTCCAGTACTATGGAATTATTCAAGTTGAGACAATAATTATTTATGAAGGTGTAAACATTCACCTAAAGTGTTTATTTTTTTAAAAAAAATTTTCACTAGACTCAACTCTCAGTAATAAGTGTTTACGTTAAATATTTATGAATTTAGAAGTCCTTCTTTAGTATGAGTTTTCTTTTCTTTTTCTAATTTAATCTAATTTTTTGGTTTGTTTACGGTATATAAAACTCAAATATGAAGTAAATTTCATTGATTTTGAGTCAAACGTAACCAATTATATATATCTCATCTCTTACTATTGGGATTATATATTATTTAAATGATGAATTCGCTAGTAATTAAGATCATATAAACTTGGTGTTTTTATGTCTTAATCATGTTCATAATTTTAGAGAATATAAAAACAATAAAATAGCTAAATAGAAAAACAAGTAATTAGTTCTTTAGGTAAGAGTAAATTATATATGTTCAGTAAGATAAATTTAGTATATTTTTTTCAGGATATTTCTGTTCATTTTAGTACATATTGTTTAAAACAGATATCATAAGTTCATTCACTTGGTGTTGTTTTATTTGTATCTTCCCACTGATATTTAGGATTGCAATTGGTCAATCTCTTATTGGCATATGTGCATCCTGTGAGGATTGCCTCGATATAGCCTTAAGTCATAAGCCTTTTAAGCAAAGATGGATAGTGGCTAGCAGTGGAATCCAGGAAGCACGTTTCGTCCTATTTGGGACTTGTCAACATGAGATTGATCAATTACAGTCCTAAATAGCAATGGGAAGATACAAGTAAAACAACACCAAGTGACTTTAAACTTCACCCGATTGCACAAGCAGGTGACCATCAGGACTCAGTAGCTAAGTGGATAACGCGATGGCTTTTGAAGCGAACGGTACTGGGTTCGAGTACCTGAGTAAACATCAACTCTGGGATGCAGGCACATAAGTTCATGGTAATGTCAAAAGTACCTAAATAAATCAATGAATTTATGGAACTTCTGGCAAAATGTATGATAATAATAATATTGATTTAATAATGACCACTTGATATTAAATGAAAAACTGTTATGAATTAGAGGTACCGTTAACACATAATAATTAATACAATAAAACATTAAATAATACCACCTTAATTTAATTTACTTATCAATATCATTTTAACTGAATAAATTTTCTAAATTTTAGTACACGCGTATTGTACATGTTTGGTTGAACTCACTTTTTTCCAAGTAATACAATATAGTTTATTTATTGTGAACCTGTACGAATATCTTCATTATAACCAAGATGCTATTTTATTCATCTCGTACAATCTAACGTTTGTATATATATATATATATATATATATATATATATATATATATATATATATATATATATATATATATATATTGTAGAGAGTAACGTGTTTCCGATTTTAAAACATCCAATACTGAATGATCACCTCAAGGCATTTTTCATTATAAATAGATAAATATTTGTATGTCAGTGTTACACAGGTTCAGATGAATGATTAAGAAACGCTTTTGGAATGCTCTAGGAAAGAAGAAACGGTAAAGAATAACGGAGTATGATGAGATGAGGCGAAACAAGGTACGAAAGAAATACAAATGAATAGGTTAGCTAGTAAGAATTTAAAAGTAACATATTAAAAAAATATAAAAGTTCGCAGTGACAATGGCAGAACAATGTTAACCTACATTTTACCTTTAGGCTAATTTTGTGAGTTAGAGTTAACTAGCCTGAGGTAATTTAAATAAGTAAAGAAAAATAGTTGAATAGAGGCTGAAGTTTTTGAATTATAGAGAAACTTCAAATGGGTAAACAAACAATAAATGTTTCTATAGAAGTAAAGTAATGAATAAAATTACTTTAGCGCAAATAAATGTTAATTTATATGGGAAATAGAGCATCGAAGTTCTTAAACTAGCTTATTTGTGTTTGAACTTGTAAGATACACAAATTCAGAGAAAATGACTTCTAAACTTAAAAACGATGCTTCACTTACGTGTCAACTTGGTGTTCTGAGGTTTTTATAGGATAATAACAGAATAATAATGACGGTTTCGCTTTTAAAGCAGAGTATTTGTAAGATAAGATTATAAAATATATGGAATATCAAACGAAAATAAAAGAATTTAGTTAATAAAATCTAGTGAATTTCAAAAGTTTAGTGATTGCCTTATAAGTTGTGATGGCAAGGTTTGACTTGCCAATTCCGGGTTCATTACGACGCGAAGTGCCAGAAATTCAATTTTTTAAATTCAGATAACAGAAATACATCAATATTTTATTGATATTGATGGCTTCTGTGAATTGCTAAGTATCGTAAAAGTGCACAACTTAGGATATATAATTTTTTGAAGGTATTGAGGATACTAAAATGCTTAGATTTATATATTTATATGAGGGATTTTCATATCACATACATTTCGGTTCAGTAAATAAAAGATGTCATAATCTAGGAAAACAATGTGAATAACTTCCTCACAAGGACATGATTCAGTAAACATTTTTGTCTACTGATAAATGTGAATTTTTATCTACATGGAGTTGGTTTTCTTTACAGAAATACACTTTACGATCTAATGATGTTACATTTAAAAGTTCAATATTTCAAACTGTAAAAACATGATGTAAGTTATCATCCTTTTGTAAAAAATCACATGATTAGGCTTTATTTATCGCCGAAATATTACTAAGTTGTAGTGACCTACTTTTATCAAGAGAATGAGATTGGTATAATGGAAACAATCATTATTATAACCAATTGTATCAGTGATTGTTTTACTATACTTGCTTGTTTAACTGTACTATAAATATACATTTTTCCGTCGACTGTGACCCAAGCACACTCTCAGTCACGCTCAGTAGTTCCACTTGTAATCTTTGGCACGATCTCGGTATTCTTTCGATACCACTAGATTGCCAACAAATATATCTTATTATGGCCTACGGTGAGATCTAACTCAATAACTGGCATGTAATCTCAGTGTAGTGGTGATCATAGTTAACCGCGACTCGACGCCACCCTACAAGACTACAAAGTGTAACTTCATCTGTCTATACGGATGCTATCATTCAAATAAAATGTGGCTTGCAGTTGTTGAAGACCTATTAGCTTAGTTGAATTTCTAAAATGCATTGGTTTGAAAATTTCAAAGTAATATTCTAATACTCTTATACTACTAATTCACAATTTCCCAGACAGTGTTGAATGAAGGAGTAAAAAGTGAAGATTAGGAAATTGTGTGTGACAGAGGAAGAATGAAGCAGTGATCCGAAAGATATCCGTCATTGTTTAAGATGACTAGCCATTTGAAGGTCATACACTTCTGAATTTTTCATGACAAACCAAAAGTTAGGTAACTGTTCTTCATCCTTTAATATAGGCAGAAACACCGTTTTCTGTCAAAATGACTATACAATAACATTCAGTAGTATCAATAATGGTAACTCGGGTATAAGTGGACATGCAACAGTTTAAGATGGGTAGTTAAGAGTTCGTAACGTCAAAACGTTATAGCTTAATTATTTACTTACATCGTTTTTTACGTGGGTACTATGTTTCCTATCATCCTATATTGAGTGTTGAAACTTTTGTGTGCTGACGATAAGAAACTAGCTCTCAAACCACTCTGTTCCATGATCTGAATAAAGGGCTTCTTAAACAACCAGTCTGGCTGTTTCTACATACAAAACGAATGGTAACTACATGTATAGAAGACTTAGTCAGCAGAAGTGGGAGCCATAAAAGTCGCAACAAACCCTCATTTAACTACTGTTACCTGTCAATAATGTGAAGAGTTAGAAAAGGTATTGCTAATATGAAAGGTTGGCCTATTTGATTTATATAGGAATAATGTGACAACATAGGCCAATTTGAAGTTACACCAATTGATTAATGCCCGATATAGGATAACTTGACCTAATCAGGCGAGTTCGCTTCCTCGTTGACTGTACTTATGATCTAAAAACCTCCTTAAACAACAATAAGTAGTAGCAAAGATTCATATGAGAAGTATGAGGTGGAACCACTACTGCTTGTGCCTATGGGTTGGCGTTGCTTCATTCGTGTCAGCGACCCCTGACCTTGGAGAGGTTCTACTGACTACCAGTCTCTCATATAAGAACCATACAATAGCAAAGTTGGTTCAGTCAGAAGAATGGGGCTTGACGATTCTTCAATGAAATAACGATCAACATGATTGGAAATTGTGCAGTAAGGCAGTTAAACTGCCGCACACCAAACATGAACGAGACCTGAAATGGTACTCAGGCCGAAAGAAGAATGCGCAAAGCGATAAATCAGCTAATACAAAAAATTGATTTACCTGACATCGTCCAATTTTTGAGCGGAAAACGTGTCTTAAGCGCTACTTTGATTTCATGGATCAAGTATCGTCTAAAGTGATACACGATGTTAGTGGTCAGAAGAAACTTATTAGTTTCAATCCAATCCAGGGCCGAATCACAACTCAAACAGTCCGGGATGAAGAAGAATATATGGAGGTATCACTAGATCTTACTGAGTTTATTCATTTTGTTGGTTTGATGAGTTCATTTTCTTAACTCAATTCGACACATTAATGAGGATTATTTATAATTTCCCGTTACGAGTATTACGGTTATTTTTTGTACCATGTATTTTTGAGGTGTCTGTTAGAAATGTCAAAGTAACTTGAAGCTTCAGAATACTTGCTATTTGTTGCTCTTACGTTGTCTTCAAGGTCATTTACTTAGTGCTTGATCTTGAATATTATAATTGCTACTCGATTATATCTTTTTATTTCTATTAACCTATTTACTTTCACCTCGTCATGCTATTGGAGCAACTGTATACATATGCCGTACTCTTTGACAGTTACTGACCGTTTGTATAAACGTAAGGTGGCTGGTACTGTACAAACTATGTGACCAGGTACATGATGTTATGCTACTTAAGACCGGGTGTTCAATTGTGTTTGGGTTTTGCTGAATTTTCCATGTTCATGTGATTGGCCATAGATAATTAGGGAAGGATATTTTTTCTTTCCTGGCTAATACATAATATGTTTCATTCAATTCATTGTTGTTTACGACTATCAGTTTCATTGCATGTGCTCAAGATTACTTGTATCCTCTGAATTTACAAAACCTCATGTTTTGAGATGTCTGTAATGAAATGACGTTTTGTAGTTAACAGGAAATGTTTCAAAAAAAGAGGTCGGTGCATGTTTTGTAACGTTACTTTGCAGTAAGTGTTTATCAACCTTTTCATTTTATATTTTAGCATCTGGGAAAAATAATACAACGGGATTTTTTCCCCAGCCTTACCGCGAACGAAGAAAAGGGAGCTGATGATGAATCCAGTGAGCTTAAAGATAGAGGTGCCCTTCGCACCGATTCTCATAACCCTGAAAAGAGTAGACATTGAATTGGAAAGTAACTTGGAGACTTTAGGTGATCCAACTGCTATGTCTTTGGATAAATACATGGCTAATAATACCACGGAAGATGATGCATCCTTCGCCGAACTAGTTGAAGAAAACGAAAAAAAGCAGAGAATTAAACTGGCTCCTTTTTTCCCCTCTCTCCAGTGTTCTGCACCTGTACGTTCAACCTTGAGTTCTCGTTATCATTTGTCTAGGCACCTTTGGACGATCCAAAAACCTTGGCTCTCCCTGGTGTTTCTAATGCTGTTGTTGGACCTAGGATCACAATTACTGGAAACAATGCTGTTCATTTTAATCCTGATGGTGTATCTCAAACCAGGGAGGAATTGCTGGAATTTTTGTCAAAGGAACGCAAAATTGTACCTACTAATACTCGCTTCAAGAGACCTTTTCCAGTAAATCTGGAAAAAAAACGTACAATGAAACATTTACTTGCAGCAAAGCTGGTAAGTTAGGAATTGGCAGTTCATTTGTACTGTGCTAGCTGTTATTTGTGGTTTATTACTTTACTCTATCATGATTTGATCCCACTGTCATTGTAAGACATAAGATTAAAGCGAGCATTGAAAAGTCAGTTAATCTAAAGGAACATTTTGCGATTTTCTGAGTCTTAATTTATTTTTTATGGGGACTATATAATACTTTCGTACATTATGTTTATAATTCGTGACTCTGACTTTAATACCATGAGCAGAACGAATTCTATCCTCGTCTCTTCCTTGCTTCACCAACTAGGATAAAGCCACCAGTTTTATAGATGAAGTTTCTTAAGGTTAACCCTGTAGAAAAGTAATCAAGGTTTATTGATTATACATCATTAAGAAGCGATTAGAATAATTAAATTGAGTACTTGTCATTCGACGAAAACCATATTAAAAATGGGTCGAAATCCCATTACTAGTTTTTACACTTAGCGATATACTGTAACAGAATTGTAAACCAAAATAATCGGTGTTGATTCACCTAGTAATACTCCTATCCGAAATATAAAAGCTGATGTGCTTAATAAATAATCATCTGATTATTTAAATAGTGTAAGTTTTCAAAGATTACTTTAATGTAGAAGTAAAACGTTTGACCACCCTAACCACAGTTAAACTGACCAGTAATGAGAAATTACTGCACCCAAAACTGTCCTTCGTTGAATAGTCATTGCTCTTCATCAATGACCTTATGGGCTTTCTCCGAGACCACCTCTAACCACATTTCCTTTTCAGGCACCTGCAGAAGAACCCTTCCACGGTGTGGGCAACCGGGAAGTGATAACCGCCCTCATACCTCTAACAGCATTCAAGAACACTGTATTCATAATCAACCTCTCCAATTCCTATTATTTCTCCTACATCGACTTTCAACTCCAAACTTCCTCTTTTGGCTTCCTCTTCAAGTGTCACCATAGCCAACGATTCTAGTGTACAAAACTCTGTCCCAAGTCTACTGAAAATCGCATCAAACTACACATTGGAGCCTTTATCGTACGCACCCTATGTCAAGTCGGTCAGCAGGCCTCCTTCGCTAAAACCTCGGAATTTCGTACCATTGATGTATGCTGTGTCTCCGAAACACACATACAGGATTCTTATGTGGTTATTCACTTGACCTCACCTCGCCAAAACGGAGAGCTGACGAGATACACCCCCCCGTGTATCTGGCGGCCCGGTGGCTAGTTCTCGCGGACTGGCAGGTGTAGGAATAGCACTAAATACAAGGTCAGAACAAGCACTATTAAAGTGGATCCCCGTTAACAGTCGTCTATGTGCTGTTCGGCTAAACGACTCCGTAAGGACTCGGAAGGATAGGGACACACGTCGTTACCTTTTTGTCGTTTCTGCCTACACACCCACCGACTGCAGCTCGGATGAAATGAAAGATGAATTTTACAGAAAGCTCTCTAAACTTCTTCAGAAAGTTAAACGTTCAGACATAGTACCCGTAGAAGGTGACCTTAATGCCCAGGTAGGTAGTTTAAACCAAACAGAAAGACATTTAGGTGGATATTTGGGTATTCCGGTACAGCGAACAGATAATCATGATCGTCTGCTGCAACTGTGCTCAGACAATCGTTTATTTTTAGCAAACACTAATTTTAAGCATAAGGAGACACTGTCTAACATGGCGACCCCCTACACCAAACCAACGATGGACTCAAATAGACCATATTGCCATTAGTCATCGTTAGAGAGGTTCGACAGAGGATTGCCGCTCATTCTAGAATACCTGCTTAGACACCAACCATGCTCTAATACGAGCGCGCATCTGCTTGCGCCTCACTGGACGCAAAAAGACCGCAGTAAATTGACCCATTAGAACTGAATTGAGAAGCGAGAAAATGAAAAGTAGGTTCCAGGAGCAACTGAGGTCACACTTAGGTAGCTCTGAAAGCAAGGCTGACCCAGACGTTGCTTGGAAAGCAGCTGTGAAAACAGCAGTGACATCTGTTAGTGATTTAAATCAAAGGATTACAAAAACCAATGGATTTCTTTCAAGTCTGTTGCACTGATGGATTCTCGCAAACTCGTCCCATCAGGATCTGAACCCGATGAAGAGCGTAACCAAATCAGATCCAGTTAAGCAAAAGTCTAAGAGAAGACCGTGAGCAGTGGTGGGCGACAAAAGCAAAAGAGATGGAAAAGGCGGCAGCTATAGGGGAAACAAGACAGCTCTATAGACTGCTAAGAGAAACTGGAATTAATAAGTCAAGTGTAAGTGAAACTATCTCGGTAAAAGACGACACTCTTATCTGCTCCCAGTCCAGACGTTTAAGGAGCAGTTCAGCTGGCCTTCAGCTACTCTACAACTACCCACCATTCCCAGACAGTGTGAATGGAACATTAAAGTAGGTCCTCTGACTCTAGCTGAAGTTCAAAACGCTATAGTTAATCTTAAAAGAGGAAGGGCAGTTGGTTCAGATGGATTGGCTCCAGAGGTCTTCAAGGATGGTGGTCCAATTTTAGCAATTTGGTTGACTAATATTTTAGCTAAGATCTGGGAGTTGGACGTAATCTCATCTGACTGGTCACAACCACTTATTGTCCCAATATATAAGAGAGGGTCAGAATCATCCTGTGACAATCATAGAGGGATTAGTTTAACTAATATAGTATCTAAAATACTAGCCTCGATAATTATCGGACGCCTAACTAAAACTCGTGAACTGCAAACACGAGAGAATCAAGCTGGCTTCAGACCTGGTCGTGGCTGCATCGACCACATATTCACCATTCGTCAGGTTCTAGAACATAGGCATACTTATCGGTGTCCGACAATGATGGTCTTTCTTGACTTTAAAGCAGCATTTGACTCCGTAAACTGAGAGATTCTGTGGCAGCGTCTGTCATTGAAAGGCGTATCTCAGAAGTACATAAACCTTGTGAAGGCTCTTTACTTGAACACTACTAGTCGAGTGAGAGCTTATGGCGAACTGTCATCTGCTTTTGCAACGTCAAGGAGTATCCGTCAAGTCTGTCCACTTTCTCCAGTCAGTCAGTCAGTAACAACGTAGAACTTCGTACGTACGTACATAAGTTCGAGTTGCCACACCACATTAGCACAGAGATGCAGTGGTCGATTCAAATCCCGTAGTAGTAGAGGTAATAAGAGTATACGCAGTAATCAGGCAAATTAGTGTTTGGAGATGTTATTTAAAGAGTATAATGCAGTGAAATAAATTTGGGAAGAGAAAAAAGGAGACAAGGAGGAATAAGGAGATCAAAATTTGGGAGAACACAAAGAGTGGATGCACCTGTGCCATTATAAACGATTTTGAGCCATGTCATTCAGGGTCTCGAACCATCGGTTGCTATCATCTCGCGGTTCCCAACCAGGTAGTCTACACCTACCAACATGACTCAGTCCACTTGTCAGTAACTTCATGGACTTGTGCCATGTTTTGGTCTGGCCGCCCCTTAGCTTTCTTCCAACCTACTCCTATACCACTGAACATCGCACGTCGAGGCAGTCGGTGGTTGGGCATACGTAACACATGTCCAAGCCATCTCAACTGATAAAGTGTCACCACTTCATCCATTGATTTGTCATCCTTACCTGGTACCCGTTTCCTAACAACTGCATTACTTACTCGATGGTCCCAAGATATACGAGCAATGTTTCGAAGACACCTATGATCAAATACTAGTAACCTACGAATATCCTCTACTCTTACCGGCCATGTTTCACTGCCATAAAGTAGGACGGAACGAACTGCTGCACAGTAAACCCGTCCTTTGGTTGATAGACGGATATCTCGCCTACGCCATAAATGACGCAAGTTGGTAAAAGCTAGTCGAGCCTTCTGTATCCGTGCTGAGATTTCGTCACACACCAGACCACAAGGGCTGATGAGACTTCCAAGATAAGTGAAGCGATCGACACGCTCAATTACTTCACTCCCTATCATTAGTTCGGGTGTCAATACAAATCAATCCTGAAGCAACATTTTGCATTTCGAGGGGGAGAATCGCATCCCGAACATGCTTGCATTGTTGCTTAGAGTGGTCAGGAGACTGCATTTTGTCAGCGTCTTCACCAAACAAAACTATGTCATCAGCATATTCTAAGTCAACAAGTGAACCTCCCGGTAGAAGTTCAACCCCTGGATATCTAGACGAGGAAAGTGTTATCTCTAAAAGTACGTCAATGTAAAAGTTGAACAAGAATGGAGAGAGTGGGCAGCCCTGATGAACACCACTTGAGGTAATCAATTCTGATGACAGTTCGCCATAAGCTCTCACTCTACCAGTTGTGTTCGATTAGAGAGCCTTTATAAGGTTAATGTACTTCTTTGGTACTCCTTTCAGTGACAAACACCTCCATAGAACCTTACAATCAACGGAGTCGAATGTCGCCTTAAGGTCGAGAAATACTACGATTGTGGGGCGTCTGAACGTATGTCTGTGTTCTAGAACCTGACGTATTGTGAATATCTGGTCTATACAACCACGTCCAGGTCGAAAACCGGCCTGGTTTTCTCTAGTCTGCTTTTCACGAGCTTTAGTTAGGCGTCGATGTATTATTGAAGCTAATATTTTAGACACTATATTAGTCAAACTGATTCCTCTGTGATTGTCACAAGAGGACTTTTGTCCTTTCTTATAGACTGGCACAATCAGTGATTGAGACCAATCAGATGGCATTACGTCCAGTTCCCAAATTCTACCTAAGATCTCAGTTAATCTCACTGCTAATACTAGACCACCATCTTTAAAAATCTCAGGAGTAAACCTGTCAGGGCGTGCTGCTCTCCCTCGCTTCAGATTTCCTATGGTTTTTTCAACTTCGTAAAGAGATGAAGGTCCTACATTAACTTGCCATTCAGGTTGACTGGAGATCGTGGAAAACCGACGTGTGGCTGAAGGCCAGTTGAACTGATCCCTAAAGTGTTCTGCCCATCGATCCAATCTCCTGGATTGAGAATGTATAATATGTCCATCTTTCTCTGAGATTGTTTCGCTAACATTCGGTTTCCTAATACCGGTTTCCTTAACAAGTCTGAACAATTGTCTGCTATTATCTATTGCCGCTGCCCTTTTCCATCTCTCTTGCTTTCGCTACCCACCACTGTTCACGATCATTGCGTAGACTTCTTGTCAGCTTGCGCTTAAGCTGACTCCGCTCGTCATTATGTTCAGAGCCAGGTGGAATGAGTTTCCGAGCATCTATCAGTGCGATAGATGCTGCTGAGATCCAGTGTTGCTCCCTAACCTTGTGGTTTACCTTACTAGCAGATATCACTGCTGTTTCCACAGCTTTTCGGATATCATTCCATGCTGCCTCGGGGTGGGCATCACATACATGGCTGCCTAACTGTTTTCCTAGTTGTTCCTGAAATATACTCTTAGCTTGACTATCATTAAGTAGGGCCCTAAGAGGTTTACTTGCAGCGTCTTTCCTACGTTCAGTAAGACGCAGACGGGTACGCGCTCGTACTAGAGCATGATCTGAATCTAAGCATGTGCTCCGGAATGAGCGACAGACTTTTATTGAACCCCTCCATCGGTGGCTGTTTTTCCTTATGCTTAAAGTTAGTATTTGCAAGAAAAAGGCGGTTATCTGAGCATAGCTGCAACAGACGGTCGCCATTATCTGTTAGGGAATGATAGTAAATCAGTTGGTGAGGTTGTGAATCTTCATGGACTGAGATGGTTGGGCCACGTGTTGGGGATGGTTGTAAGAAAGTTGGGGGTGGCCAAACCAAAACGTGGCATCAGTGCTTGAAGTTATTAACTTCTAGTCTGAGCCATGTTGGTAGATGCAGACTACTTGGTTGGGGTCCGCGTGACTATTGTAACCAACGGTTGGAGACTGTGAGTGACATGGCTCGGAATCGATTACAATGTTGTAGGTGTTTACACTCACTGTCTTCCTTTTAACTATGAGATTAAAATCGCTTCATATTTTTCTTTCTACGAAATAATTCTTCATGTACTATGTTCTTTTATGCAATCTTTCTTTCATATATTATCACCACTCCTTCTATGAATTCGGTGTTCATCTTGTTGTGTTAATGAGGTATGGCAACTTGGACCGATGCTCATATGTGCCTGATCCTACGTTGTAGCTGACTGACTGACAGTCTGGACATTTTCACAGTCTTCACGTAACGTACTACAATCTGGGTGAGAGCATTAGTAGGCAGATTTTACTTAGTTCGCATTTTTAGTCTAAAGATTAACATCCTATCTGAACTTTACTGACATAATTTTACTTGAAAATGCTGGTCAAAAATATCGTTTTTTGTACCTTGTAGAACAAATTCAGAGTTAATCAATGAAAGGACATTACCGTTTGTCTCTATTGATGTGAAAAAGAATAAACCGTTTATTGAGTTCTGATTCAGAATCTAGTTTGGTTATATGAAATATTCACATGAAGTTTTTACTTATTTGGTTTTATTTTAAACAGGGTCGTGTCGGTCTTAATGGTTTAGAAATGAACTCACCATACGGAACTCCTCAGGCTTCTGGGTACAAATTTCTTGATTCTTCCCCTTCACCAATGACAATGTTTCCTCACACACCTTTAATGACTTGGGGTGAATTGGATTCGACACCGTTCCGACTAGATGACAGCGAAACGACACCATCAGTTGTATCTGGTGGTCCAGCCTTTCGTATCCCATCTCCTTCTCAACGTGAACAGCTTGCCCACCAATTAGCAGATAAAGCAAGTCGTCAACGTGTGCGTGATCGTTTGGAAGCAGTTAAAAGAATGCAGTCAGCAGCATCAAGGTAAGTGTATTTACAATTGAAAATTACTAATGTTTTACTACCGTATATTTTAGCAATAAGTTCTCCTACAAATAAATTTAACTCAGACACATACAAGTAAGAAGATTAGATGTGAAAAGGTGAACATGATTTTCATTCTTGGTATATGTACGTATTACTGATACTATAAGATATATACATAAGGCGAAAATACGTACCTAAAAGAATGTTGTCTCTGGTAGTTTTTATGACGCGTTTCAGGTTCCAATTTATCTTATTCCTCCTTTAAGTTTTACTGCAACATAAGCTAGTTGTAGGATGAATATGCGATATGACGTTACCTATCAAACAACAAATGTACTGTGAAGAAGTCCCCTTTGTGTTACTTTATCATTAAGTCAAGACCATTATTTATAAAGGGGAGGTGTAGATAACAGTCATTTGGTAGTAAGTTCTTCCAAGGATTATTTATGTCTGCTGAAACCGCTGATTACTTGGTGTTAATGTAAGGTCCAATCTCGATTGAGAAGACACCGAATACATATGTCTCACACAAGTCACTTGATTTATGTGAGGGCAGTGAAATAACGTCAAAAGATACAGTCCCATGGTAGGTGGTGACCAATAATAGATTTATACGCCGTTTGTTCACTCAGGATCCTGGAGCCCATGTTCACCATTGGTTTGGAATCAGGGCCACGTGCATACAACCGCCGTCAAGGAAGTCCTATTCACAACCTTCTTGAGTCGGGGCTGTTGTTTACGAAACTGAGGGGACGAAAAGCGAACGTCTGGCGTTTTAACCAGGTTAATGGGCACGGCGTATCCACCAAGAGGAATTGGGAATCCCTGATTCCAAACCAATGGTTCAGATGGGCTCTAGGATCCTGAGTGGACAAATGGCATATGAATCTGTTGTTGGTCACCGGCTACAATGGGACTGCATCTTCTGACGTTGCTCCACTGCCTTGTGGATCAGACCTTTAGGTCAAAGGCTCAGGGAGTGGTTTCCTAAAGAAACTACCTGCTTCGATCTGGGCACCCGGCCAGTATTCAAGCCCTCACATAAATGGAATGATGAAGTGTGACGCATATGTATTCGGTGCCTTCTTGTACCAATGTTTATATGTTTAAATAAATAAATCTAGACCGAGATGCAGTCATGCAATCGTGGTAACGATTTTCAAACAAACTATTTGTGCTACTATCATGTGTCACCCCACGTAGTTGGAGTATTTCAACACATTCATTAAATTTGTTTTTTGCATTCGATGCACGAATTTTAGTTTTGCTCTATTTTCTCATCTAAACACATCAGTAATTCATAAATCTTTATTTGTATTATAGCTAAATCAGTGTAACCTTATTTATATTTATCAGTTTAATGTATTGTCCAATTGCAGTCTACTTAAATCTTTTGATATTAGGAAATCATTGATATGCCAGACTTGGTTAGTCAGATTAAATCAATGTTGATGAAAACTTCCCTCGGTCAGAAACCCGTATCAGTTGATTGAATAACATTGTATTCATTGAAATGCTGTTTCTAATTCTCTTGGGATGTTGAGTGTTTTACATTAGTTTCAAAATTCTAACATTCAGACTTTTTAAATGATTTCAAATTTCATTTATTTTGTAGTCCATCACGGTCGCTACTCTCTCCTGCTGCTCTTCGTTTACTCGCTTCTAGCTCATCGATTATAAATAACGAACCAAACAGCCGACCTTCAACTGGCACTGCTCGTATTGGTGGGCAAACATGTTCTCCTCTTCCTAAAGTCAATACTCCTCGGCGTGTTCCATCTGATTTGGGTGTTGTTAGACGTCCGAATTCAGCACGTTCAACTCCTAATTGCGAATCGGTGAAACCGAACACTACTCATAAGAAAATTCCTCTAGAACGTGGTGATATCCAGATTGATAAACCGGAATCTTCATCAATTACAGATAACTTACTGAATTTAAAATGTCAAAATTTGTGATTCTTTGTATTTATCAAATCAGGAAAATTTCATGTAGATATGCCTCCATTACTATACTCAGACCCATACTATTTTGTACAGTAAATGAGTACAGTTTTTCTCTCTGTGATTTGCTTCTCAATTAAATTTCTTGTTAATTGAGTCATTTTTGTCAAGTTTCACACTATTCACTACTAATTCATACAGACATTAAGTCGTGTATTGAACGTGAAGTTTATTTTTTGTATTCCTTAAATGATGACTAAAGCACGAGTAGTATCAATATCTAAGTAGTTTATTATACATCATTTGTTGTCAAAGCAAACGATATATCAAAATTATCATTACAATATCTTGCTTTTCGAGTAAAAGAAATCAGTTTGTTCGTAAAGTCGGTTGATAAACCGTCTTGAACTGGCTCGGTTTAATCTGGATTTTGAGAATCTTATCGGCTTACATTTAGTTTTGTACCAGAATATCATAAACTGCTGGCTTGCACTTTTTGTGCGTATGTAGCTTTGTTTCGAGCTCAACAGTTAAGGGGGTGAGGTTTGGAAACAATATTTTAAATACTTATTTTGTAATAATACCCTGGTACGGTTGAGAGTGAAGAGAATAAGCTCTCCTTCTCTCTCTCTCCTTCCCTCATGTGCATACAACCGCCGTCAAGGAAGTCCTATTCACAACCTTCTTGAGTCGGGGCTGTTGTTTACGAAACTGAGGGGACGAAAAGCGAACGTCTGGCGTTTTAACCAGGTTAATGGGCACGGCGTATCCACCAAGAGGAATTGGGAATCCCTGATTCCAAACCAATGGTTCAGATGGGCTCTAGGATCCTGAGTGGACAAATGGCATATGAATCTGTTGTTGGTCACCGGCTACAATGGGACTGCATCTTCTGACGTTGCTCCACTGCCTTGTGGATCAGACCTTTAGGTCAAAGGCTCAGGGAGTGGTTTCCTAAAGAAACTACCTGCTTCGATCTGGGCACCCGGCCAGTATTCAAGCCCTCACATAAATGGAATGATGAAGTGTGACGCATATGTATTCTGTGCCTCAATCATTCACAAACTGTTTAGTTTCTAACAAGGATGTCTATTGTTGCAATTTGTCACACTTCACAAAAGTATGCACAATACGTCCTGACTAGCGATGTTTATGAGGATTCATAGCCTCATCAATCATAATTTATACCTAAAAACACATACATAGCTTCAATATTGGATACTTTGTCGTTCCATCATAAGCGGTCAGTGCTTCGCTAAACGTCCCACTTATAAGCACTGGGTTTTTCAGGCTCTTTACAACTAATTGAAGCCCGTCGGTCTACTCCGGGTGACCGTGAGTTTGACCATAAACGAAGGATGTTACAAAAGGAAATTGGGCAAAGACCGATAGACATGGTGATCAGAGCGTGGTAATGAGCTGGAAGCAGCAGCTCCATCTGGTAATTACCGGAAGCTCTTCCAACTCATCCGAGCCACTGGCAGCAAGAAGTCTGGTGTGAGCGAAACAATCTGCGAGGATGACGGAATGCTAATCATTAACATCCATCGACGTCTTAGATGATGGGCAGAATTCTTCGAAGGGCAGTTCAACTGGCCTGCTGCTCCGGCAACATCGGTCAGACTGGCCTGCCCTTCATGACCGGTGACGACTGATCCACCAAGTGAGGTGGATATCCGCAAGGAACTCCACTCTTGAAGCGCTACAAGTCATCAGGCCCAGATGACTTACCCCCGGCCCTTTTTAGAGATGGTGATGACTTTCTGGTTAAGGAACTGACAACGTTGTTTACAAAGGTCTGGGAGCTAGAGAGTGTACCAACGTCATGGAATGACTCGATAGTTGTCCCTATCTTTAAAAAGGGTTCACGTCGTTTCTGTAACAACTATCGGTGGATAAGTCTACTTCCGATCGCATCCAATCTATTGGCTTCCGTCATACTTCATAGGTTGTTCAAAACTCGAGAAAGATTGACTCGCAAGTAGCAGGCTGGTTTTCGTTCTGATCGAGGATGTATTGATCATATCTTCACCCTCCGCCAAATGCTAGAACACCGTCATACTTATCACAGGCCATCAATCGTAGTGTTTCTTGACATCAGGGCTGCCTTCGTTTCGTTGGACAGGACTGTTCTCTGGGATTGTCTATTGAAGAAGGGTGTGCCTGAGAAGTTCATTAACAAACTAAAGGCCCTATATACAAACACTTCAGGTTAAGTGAGGGCGGACAACCACCTTTCTCCATTGTTCTATTCGAGCAGTGGGGTTAGGCAGGGTTGCCCAATCTCACCATTCCTCTTCAACTTTGCCATCGACGACATTCTGGAAACAGCTCTGATGGATGTAAGTAATGGTGGTGTGGATCTGTTGCCTGGAGAAAGACTTCTCGACCTTGAGTATGCGGATGATATTGTCTTACTGTGCGATAATGCCCAAGCCATGCAATCCGCACTTAATCAGTTGGCGAATTAGTGTCCGTACTTACTTACGCCTGTTACTCCCCGTGAAGGCCGCTCACCAGCATTCGCCATCCAACCCTGTCCTGGGCAATCTTTTCCAGCTCCTTCCACTTGTTACTCATCCTTTCCATATCTGTCTTTATTTCCCGACGTAATGTGTTCTTTAGCCTTCCTCTTCTCCGCCTTCCTTCAGGATTCCAAGTTAGGTTTTGTTTCGTGATGCAGTTTGACGATTTGCGTAGTGTATGTCTTATCCATTTCCATCGTCTTTCCCTAATTTTCTTTTCAGCTGGATACTGGTTTGTTCTCTCAGAGAAGGCTGTTGCTGATGGTATCCTGCCAATGGATGTTGAGTATCTTGCGTAGACAGCACCTTCTTGATGATGGTTGTAGTAGTTCTCCAAGTTTCAGCTCCATACAGTAGAACTGCCTTGACGTTCGTACTGAAGATTCTCACTTTGATATTGGTTGAAAGTTGTTTTGAGTTCCATATGTTCTTCAACTGTAGGAATGCGATCCTTGCTTTGCCAATCCTTGCCTTTACGTCTGCATCTGAACCTCCTTGTTCATCGAGAGTGGATGGACTGCTGTTTTCCGTGTTGAATTTGAGGACCTTGATTTTCCCCTGAAGCTATGGCAGCTCCTCTCCTGGTTCTCACATCTTCCATTGTCCTTCTAAATTTTTTATTGATACAAATATGATCTATCTGGTTCTCTGTAGTGTGGTTCGGTGAGATCCATGTGGCTTTGTGTATACGTTTGTGTGGAAATATTGTGCCTCCTATGACCAATTTGTTGAATGCACACAGATTTACAAACCTTTCTCCATTTTCGTTTCTCTCTCCCAGTCAACGTCGTCCCATAATATCTTCATATCCGGTGTTGTCCGTTCCGACTTTGGCATTTAGATCTCTCATCAGAATGGCGAGGTCCTTTCTTGGGCACTTCTCTATGATTGACTGCAGCCGCTCGTAGAATTGATCTTTAATGTAGTCGTTGCTATCATTGGTGAGTGGGATCATTAGAGCAACTCCTTGAGTGTGCGGAGCATTTTCCTCTTCGTCACCGGAGTATAGTAGCATCTCTCCCGTATTTAGCCTTTGTTATCCAGCTTGGCTCCAATGGGTTTCGCTGATTCCCAGTACTGCCAAGTTGTATCTCCTCATTTCCGTTGCTGTTTGACTGGTCTTCCCGGTCTCCCACATTGTTCGAACGTTCCATGTACCTATAAAAATTTTTGCTCTGGTTGTTAGAAGGGGCATCGGCCTCGTGGCTTCCGAAGGAACTCGGCTTTCACCAAGAAGCGTCATAATTCTTCTAAATGAAGACTTTCTAACTCCTAGGGCAGAGTTAAAATGGTTTGAATAAATTTTTCTGGTAAGCGTTTTTTAGCGAGTTAGTTTTCTACGGGATGGGGACGCTAACCCCATGCCCAGCCCTCCTCCTTTACCGGGACTTGGGACCGGCAGTAACTCTAGAAGAGCTACAGGCAGAGTTGAATTAGTGTCCGTAGGTACGGTATATGCTTCGCACCTTCAAAGTGCAAAGTACTTCTACAAGACTGGCATGATTCTAATCCTGTACTCACGCTGGATGGTGAGCAGATAGAAGAAGTCGAGAATTTCGTGTATCTAGGTAGCTGCATAAGTGCTGGTGGTGGCGTGATTGGTGAGACCAATGTACGTATAATGGAAGCCAGAGCGGCTTATGCCAATCTGGGCCACCTTTGGCGCCTTCGTGATGTTAGTCTGGCTGTAAAGGGTCGGATCTACAACGCGTCGGTGAGAGCAGTTTTGCTTTATGCTTGTGAAACCTGGCCTCTCCGAGTTGAGGACGTTAGACGACTCTCTGTGTTCGATCATCGCTGTCTCCGAAGGATTGCTGACATTCAGTGGCAGCACCATGTCAGTAATGCAGAGGTTCGGCATCGTGTGTTCGGGCACAGAGACGATAATGCAATTGGTGTCACCATCCTGAAACATTGACTTCGATGGCTTTGACATGTCCTACGAATGTCGTCTCAGAGAATTCCACATCTTGCATTATTTGCCGACGCTGAGACTGGTTGGAAAAACCGGAGAGGTGGTCAGTGTATGACATGGTGTCGTGGTATGAAAGAAAGCTGCAAAGGGCTTGCTTTTGCTGATCGTTCACGACTCCTTGGCTGAGGTCCGAGAGATAATGTAACACAGTGGCTAGAGACTTCAGATATGGCTCGGAATAGAAGCCAGTAGCGATCCTGCTGTAACCTTCTTTTACTTTTTTCCTAAACAGTGGTTGTACCTTCCTTAACTGAAAGACTTCTTATGATTGTACCTTTCCGTTTCCCTCATTATTATTATTATTGCTTCGTTTTGGGCACCCGGGCAGTATCACAGCCCTCACACATATCGAATGAGATTTGTGTGGCGCATATGTATTTGGTGCCTCCTTGTACCAATATCTTTGTGTTAAAATAAATAAATAAATACCTTACACTAATCTGTGGTCGTTATTGTCCTTTTTTTCTTTTGCGCACCTTACCTTCTTTTTTCTCTTCCCATTGTCATTGTTTTGTTTGGCACATGTATATTTGGTGCCCCCTTGTGCCAATATTTATGTGTTCAAATAAATAAATAAATAAAGCAGTCAGTAGTTTTAAGGTAACTAAATTCAAATATCTGGAATCTACTCATTGTCTTCCATCTTCATAGTCATTAAGAGACTGGATTTTGGAACTTGATGCTAAACACCAAATTTTCTGAAGTATTGCTAAGTTAATGGGCTTAGTTAAAACTTTGGATAAGAAAAGAAAGGAAAATCGAAATAAATTAAGAAGTTTAATTTTCCATTGTTTGTATTTCATGCTTGACATGTTTTATTGATTTTCACACTGACTTTTTTGATACCAGTAGTGAATACTTTGTCAATAAGTCAGTTTTAGTGTTTCTCATTAGTTGTATATTACTTTTGAATTTTGATAATATCCATCGTTTTTGGAGAATTCCCCATCTCATTAGTTACTGTTATATGGAAACACAATGTATTAGTCTCTTGTATTAGGTCTTTTTCCCTAAATAAAATAACATTAGTCATATAGCGTGATATTTTTACTGTTTATGAAATATGTAGTATGACTTTGATTTACACTTTTTACAGGTGAAGTTACAACACTGTTTCCTTGGTTTCCCTTACAGCCAATCATTTTGTTTACTCACCCGAAAAAAATTTCCGGTCACATTGTCTTTATCTAGTGCAGTGATGCGTATGAAAATTCTACTTGAAGTCGACCATTGTTGACTGGTACAGCTCATGTTGATAAGTTTTCAATGCCAGAACATGTGTTTATCTTAAGAAGACTCAAAAGGGTATAAACGAGAAACTGGTTGTGTTGATATTGTGTTTTCTGAGTTGGGTGGTTCAGTTGTGGAGCTTTCACTGTTCTTTTGGGTACGTACCTCAGTGAGATGTGAGCTGTAAGAATTTCTTCATAATTGACTATTGGCTTCTGTTCATCTGGAAGTTAGTCTATTGTTGTCCGTTACTTCGTGATTGTTGTTCTCATGTTTGTTTTGATTGTCTCCTCCCTTACCTTGCAGTTGTTAATTCTTTATCCTACTGGCTGATAGATCTGGTCGATTTCAATTTCTATTGATTCAAGCTTCTAAAAATTCTCAACATTTCTTTGTTTAATATTTCAACTTTTCCACGGCCTAATTCATATCCATAGTTGTTCAATACATGGATATCAGATAAACTAATATCATGGTGTTAAGTAGTGTTCATACAAACGGTGAGGGTGGGCATTTTGTCCTGCGTGGTGTCATTGTGTCTAACAGGTTAGATCAACCGACTTTCTACACTGATTTATCGTTGGGTAGTAACTAGTTTCTTGTTTGTCTAGTCCTTGGTCATTGGATTTTATCGACTTTATTGTTGTGTCGTTTAGTTTGAATAACTCAATAAGTTTTGGTTTTATGTAGTTGGAATTAATTAGCAGGAGATTCGGTCTGGGTTTTGTATTATTTGGTACTCGTCATTAAGATATATCGATACTCTTTAAGGAATTGATACGCCTCGTAGGTAACTCGGATGGGAATCTCAGGCTTTTCCTTCAATCAATTCTAGCCATTTAACGTCATAACTGATTATGCATATACGAATAACAAACAATCTGACTGGCTTAATTTATAAGTTAGACTACTAAATAAAATAGGTTATAGACTTATATTAGTACACATTACTAATTTTTTTTCTAGTCACACTACATATAAATATAATTTTCAGTTTGATGAACACTTTGCTTGACTTAATTAAATTAGCACAAACAGTCAGAGCAAATATACTGCTTATTACTTGGAACTTTTTTCTAGTGAAGTGTGGCATCCTTAAAGTGCATCGAAATGTTAAAATTGTTAACAAAGTTTGTAATTATTATTATAAATTTCATTATGTGTTTAGCAGGGGGATTTCTATTGTGGCTTTCCTCCTATTATTTTGCAATACTTAAATTATGGGTTGCGTATGTATATATGTGCGTAGAAAAGGATTCACAATTATGAGGGATTAGAATTTCTTCAGACTAAAGGTGCAAATCAATAAGTGAATGATATACACATTAGATTTAACCTCAGACATTTTAGGCATTACATTACTGTACTTTGACTTCAACTTTTTTGCTTTAAGTACATCCTTTGGAATTTATGATTGATTATCTTATCACAATAAATTTATATAAAAATGGTTTTAGAATTACTTTTTCTAAATAATTGTTATTTTCTATTATTTCCTTACGTTGAAAATTCCAAATTATTGTTGGTCCACTATATACACTAGTGTTATCTATGTACAATGTTATCAGAATGAGCCATGATAATTACTGCAATTATTTTAAGCTAACAGTTCCCTATTAGTATACGTACGCGATTTTTTCTTTACACTTATTATTCAGAGAATGAAGTTTGGTTGTGAATTTCAAAGTTTTAGCGTGTACTTTTTATTGGTAAGTTGAAGAAAAAAACGCGTATTCACTGAATTGTGCAATAACTAGCATGAGTATTTCTCTAGTTTGAAAATATCTCAGACTAGTATAGAAAATAATTAAAGATAAACTTGATCCTTTATGAACCCATTCAGATAACTTCTAAATAAAAAGGGGAAGATATTGGAAAAAAGGAAATATTTGTGGTAAGTTTTACACGTAATTTGTAGGATTTCGTTTGTAAATCATTCTTAAATTGTTTATGCAGGCGAAGACTAGTGATAAGGTGTTGATCACTTCATTCATTGTGAATTTCCTGACAAAATCTTACCATGGATTCAAAATGCTTGTTTGGCTTCTGGCAAATTACATTACCTGTGGCGGAGACGGAATGTCCGTCTGTCAAAAAAGGATCAACAAACTTTTCAGTAGATCGCTTTGTTTTACTTGATGGTCATCAAGAGCACAGGGCATTCGAAGTTTACTATAATTTCGTCATAGGTTTCTTTGAAGCACTGTTCATGTGTGTTGGAACCGCTGAGTGAGAAGTGTAGAAATTGGGCATAGGGTAGTTTGGAAATCATGGATTAAGGTAGCCAGGAAATACTTTAAGTGTGACTAACTATTACCCACTTTGACGTGAGATCTTAGCTGGCTTAAAAGACTAGAGGGAGAAAACCAAGGCGTACTACCGATCCACAAAGTTATCAACTGTTGGTAGTATATGCAGGCTACTTGATTAGAGGCCTCTAAATTATCGTAGCCAATGGTGAAGACTTTGGCCTGTTCAGAACCGATCCTAGTGGTTCAGGTGCGTTCTCATTGTCTAACTCTAGGACCTGAGTTTCAAAGTTATTTTTTGTACCTTTTATCCCATGAATTCATTTTTCATATCACGTTTTCTACACAACTTGTTAAAATTTTGATTGATTGTTCTACTGCTTTGGTATCATTCTTGATGATTTTATCTTGTCGTACTGATCTACATATATTCTGGGTTCTATCTTATCTATGACTGACTGGACATATTGTGAGTTATCGACTGATCAGTGACAAGTGCTACTCACTTTAATTTACTCGAATCTGATTATTAGCCGATAAAAACAGATCCTATAAAAATCAATTTATTCAGATGTGGTTTTGATGTACTTTTGGTGTCAAATAAATCCTCTGATATCAATGCTTTCGTCCTTTGTGTTGAGTTACATACGTTTTACTGACCTATCATCAACACATTCAAATAGTTACGTCTCAGCCTCAACAGATCTATTCACGGAATTCTCAACTTTATTTATGTGAGATTATTTCGGCGGTCATTTACTGGTCTCGACTTATCATATTTTATTTATTGAGTTGACATACGAATGCATACTTCCGTTCCCTCACCTGACAAAAACTAGTTTGTGTGATTTTACAATTGATTGGATATACATATATGTAAATAACGGGAACCCAGGTAGTGAAAAACAAATGTATTTTAATACAAAATTACGGAGTCCTTTCATCAAATGTGAGAACCATACGTTCAATGCCTCATTTGCAAAATCTCCTTCAATTGTCTCAAACGTGATCGTTTCTTCATTACTAAAAATAATACCCTCTATTCCCGTTCTCGTCGATTCGATCATCCCAACCTTCTGCTGCCAGGCATTCCACTTCTGACGTGTTATATACTACTTATGTCCACATAAGTAGCATACACCATATATATATATATATATATATATATATATATCGAAATAAAAATAACATACTTTTTTGGATACGATTCCTACGAGTTAATGTTGTTATAAACTATTTTAATATTTATATACCACAATTGAGCCAGCGAGAACCTATTAATGGGTAGTAGGAGAGAAAGTTTTCATTAATCGCAATTAGAAAATTAGACGGAAAAGACAGTTTAATTTATACAACCATTTATTTATCTAGAGAGAGGATATTTTAGATATGAAGAGAACTGGGCAAGTAAATTACCGCTTACTACGTTATATGTGCAAAACGTTGATATCTTGGAAATCTTCATAAATGAAGCAAATAATTAGTATGAATCAGAAACAAAACTAAATGTTAAATTCCATCAAATGGTAATTGATTAATATTTTTCTCTCGAGGATATTGGTTTGCTTTTACTATAGATTACATCACTGATTGATTTCAACTTTGAAATTATTCGTCCTAGTATAAGTGTAACATATTAGCTATAACAGTTAATAGTGTTCGCACAATATGGTGGGTTGGGACTATATAAAATCGGATTTAGAATCAGTGGTAAGAAAGTAATACACTTACTACGATATTTGAAGCTCCATCGTTTTGATTTCTGACTGGATTCTGGCTACCTAATTCTAAAGAGTCCCAGGCTATGACATAATAGGTATCCAATGCCTGCTGGTTTCAGTGGCTCAACGACTGATTCTAGTCTGTGTAATTGATTATTAACACTCCCACCTTTCTTAGTATGGGCTATTTGCGAAGGAAATATTAACTTTCTTTTTGTAATGACTGGAAAAACTGCTACTTCTTATAAATGAACAAGAACTAATTTGGCTTGATGTAAACAACAAGGCGAGACATCAGGTTAAGAGTTTATGCACTAAACACATCCACCACTGACACAACAACTATATCAAAGTTACACTGAA